AAAAAAAAAAAGGAAAAATTATAAAGTTGCTTGATTCTTCTACTGCATTGTTTATATCTGTGTGTGTTCTGCCTGCTTTTTTGTTTAGTTTTTCTGTTACGCTAAAAAAAATTGTGTCGCTTTAGTGTAATGAACTTCATACAGTACCGAGGTCATTGCTTTTTAGTAGTAACTTATATGCAAACATGGAAGGCGAAACTGTTGATCATCTTCTTTGCATGCCGTTTCTAAGAGCAGACGTTAACTTCAGAAAAATTAATTCCAACGTTTTTTTTTATCTTGTTAAAATTGTGGAGGAGGGACTGTTTGATGCATGCTTTTCGCCAGTTGTCCCGCACCTTCTTTGCATCATTAATGTATTATAGGGATGGTAGTCACTCTGCATTGGTCATATAAATTGATAATTGTTAAGCAGTCTTGGTGTTTTTAGTCTTTTTGTAGGTCAAGAAATTTTTCAGTGGATCAGTTTAGGGACTTCTGTATGCGTCTTTGTATGAAGTAGTGAGTTCGCAGTTTGATTTGTTTTTCTTTAGGCTGGTGAGGATGTACAAGAGGAAGAGGACGAAGAGGACGATCTCACCCCCACCCACTGGTCGAAGTTGGATATAAAAACGATGAAGGTAAGTAGATTGTGTTTTTATCGAATTATGTGCTTCTTTTTGTTGATTGCATAGTAATGACTCCGTGATATTATTGTACTGGAGAAATGTGTAGCTTAAAAGTTTCTTACATCGTTCTTTAATCATTATCTATAACTACTGGTAGTATGTTTTTTTGAATTGTTACATGGATTTCTTTTATCTGAAAGCCGTGTCTTTATGTCATTCTAAATTCTGTTTATTTGTCTGTTTGATGACTTTAGTGACTGGTCTAAATTTTAATAATGTTATCATTAAGGTTGCTGAGCTTCGCCAAGAATTGATGGCACGAGATCTGGAAACGAAAGGGGTTAAAACTGTTCTCTGTGCTAGGTTGCAGGAGGCACTTGATAAGGAAAAAGCAGAAGAGGAAGGAAAGGCTAAAGAAGTAATTCTTTTTTTTCCTTATTTTTTTTCTCAAATTTCTGATGTTTTTAGTAATTAGATTATGTCTTTGTTGACTTAGGTAGTTGACTTTAAATAGTTAATGATTTTCGTGCATTTATGTGTATACTGAGTTTCTTCAATTACGTCTGATTTTTTTAGGAGGACGAGGAACTGAATAAGGAAGTTGATGATGAGCCGAAGAAGGAGGAAAAAGAACTTTCGGAGGAGGAGAAGAAGGCTTTGGAAAAGTTTGTGAGTTTTACAGATTTTTTTTCAAATAATTAATAAGTTGTGCAGTTTTTGATAATTTTTGCTTTTACTATTTTTCAAGTGGATTTTGAGTTGTTCTTGTTTTCATGATTTCTGATAATCTTTTTTCTTAAACATGAATTTTGCTCCAGGAAAAAGAAAAGAAAGAGAAGAAAGCAGCATTAGAAAGGCACTATATTGTACCAAAGGAAACTAGTATTCTCGTATATCCAAACCGTCAAGCGAAAGCTGGAAAATTTGATTGCAAAGTAGTTACACTTCGTAACCTTTTGGACTACCGTATTGAAGACTCGAAAGAGCATTCTTTTGAAGTTAGAATCTTTTATAAATTTTTCACCAGATTATAATGCCTTTTGTCTCTTGAATAATAGGCTTCTCTTTTGTCTTTGAGGTAGCTGTTTTTTTGGAACTTCATAGGTAATGGAAAGGATAGTTCAGGTAGCTTTGTTAGCTGAAGCTTTTGCTGAAATGATGGACAGATCGTATGCTTTTGATATATACAAGGCTATGACTTATGCATTGGATAAAGATGCGGAGAAGAAAAGGCGAGATAAGGCTAAACTTCAAGAGGCTTTAGGAAAAGACGGTTTCTTTGCTTTCGCAACGTTATATCTGGTTTTGCTTTGTTTTTCTCATCTTTTTTATTAAAAATTCTTACAGCTGATGCGAAGAAACACAATTCCACTGGTGATGGTCCAGATAAGATTGAGAAGTCGGAAGAAGAGAAAAAGAAAGAGGAAGAGAAATTTGAAGAAGAGCAGAAAAAGATACTTTCAGAGCCTCGCAAGTCAGTAGTCTTCGACAGGGTGACATTCCAAGCGTTTGCGCATTTTGATACTAATTTATGCGGGTTAGTGCAGTTTAGATTCTTTTTACGTGGTCTATAACTCGTAGTCCGAGTTAGTACAGTGAAAATTTATGGACGGTTGAGCTTGTGCAGTATTTTAAAAAAAAATTATTCTTGTATATATCTAGTAATCCATTGTGTTGTTATTGTGGACTTCATTTGTTTGGGCATGAAGTTAGAAGTTCTAGGTACCTTGTCGAGAAGGATGTTGAAGACGTTTTGTTCACGATGGGTTTGAATATTTCTCGAGGACATGTACAAAAATTAGTGAAGAAATTTGCTGCGAGAGAAAAGGTTAACTATCGATACTTAACGGACAGTTGGATCAATAAAGATGGCACTGTTACTTATAGTCCAGGCGTTGCTCCGGATGCTCCCTCATTATCTGTTTTAAGCAAAGGTGCTTATTCATATGCAATCCGGTCGTTGCTTGATCCTCATGCGTTTGTTCACTTATTTTCTTTAAAGGAATTGTTCCTGCAAAAGTCGAAGCAGTTAAAAGAACTGAACAAGAAGATTCTCCGGAATTGAGTTCCACTGGTGCAGTCGATTATAACGGTTCTTTGCTGAATATCACAGTGGTTTTAGAACGTGCGTCGCAAATGGAAGCAGAGCGCAATAATGCTTTTCAGAAAATCGATGTTTTGGAGGCTCAGCTGAGTGAGTTTCTGCAGCCACGTGGACTCGCAAATTCTTCGCTTTATTTCTTCTGACGCCCTGTTCATTCGCTGGGAGGTTATGTAACTTTGGTTTTTTTTAAGGAGAAAATGCGAAGACAATACAAAATCTTGAAAAAAAGAAAAAGAGATCTGATGAGGACGCAGACAAGTACAGAAAAAGGCTGCATGAAGCAGAAAAAAATTTGAAGGTTACTTTAGAAATATCGGTTGTGTCACAAATCTTTCTTTTCATT